GGGGGGGGGGGGGAGAAGGGAAGAAGGGGAGAGGGGGGAGAGGGGGAGAGGAGGGAGGGGAGAGGGGAAGAGGGAGGGGGACAGGAGGACGGGGGGAGAGAGAGGGGGACAAGGGGACAGGGGGAGAGTGGGACAGGGGGAGAGGGAGGGGAAGGGGGAGAGGGGGAGAGGGGAAAATGGAGACAGAGAGACAGAGGAAGACAGAGACGGACAGAGAGACGGACAGAGAGATGGACAGAGACAGGGCAGAGACAGAGAGACAGAGACAGGGAGAGAAACACACATACATACAACCTGGAACTTCAAGTCCTCTCCCAGTGAGGCCAGACAAGGTAACCCAGCTAGTAGAATATTTTTATCCCACGTACAGACAACAGCTTTTGGGATAGCTCCTGCTCCCGTTGTACAGTGGGGACCCACATGAAGGTCAAGCCACACATCTGCTACATATGAGCAGGGAGGCTTATGTCCAGTAAGTAAAAGAGAGAGGGAGGGTGAAAGAAACCACTTAGTCTTACTCGTTTATAAATGTAACATGGTATACTGTTGCAATTTCATTTTTACTGTTGAAAAGCAACTTGAAATTAGATTGGATTGAAAAGGCTCAACCCCTCACTAGCAAAACTTGCCTTCTCATTCTATTGTGTCAACTCAGCATTATATAACCATCACAGGAATCCATTTTAACAATGTGAAATTTGATAAATCAAGTTCCCTTAGCATTTTCTTCAAACGTGAGTGGGAATTGGACCAATATTTTAGAACCTGTATTCTGAGCTGCAGGTAACAAAATATTCTCGTTACTTCAATTTTGTCCAAATTCTGCAGTTCACGCAATTATGTTTCTTACATAATTGGCTGGCAATATCTGCCACCAGCTAAGTTATTTTGTGAAACTAAATCATCTTCAGAATTGGTGGTATTTTTCACAACTAATTACAGCTAAACAACAAAGAAAGTTTCGAACCATTTCTCAGACTGCAGGCACAAAAGAGCTTTCAGTGCCTATTACCAACTCAACTTATCCTGTTTCATGTCATTTTTGTAGATAAAAGTCATATAAGATTTACTCAGAGCATTTTTAGGCAACAATGTATCTTCTTAAAATTGCCCAAAAATTCTCTTGTTTTTCTTTTCCCTTGTAGACAAGACTGAAATGGAGAGATGGTTGGATCTAGTCCCTCAGTCTCTGATTCCAAAGCTTGGGTTGAATGCTTTCTTCCTTTTTTCTTTTTTTGTTGTTTTGGATTTTGTTTTTTTTGTTTTGTTTTGTTTTGTTTTGTCTTTGCTTGTGTGTTTTGAGACAGGGTTTCTCTGTGTTTTCCTGAAACTCACTCTATAGACCAGACTGGACTCAGACTCAGAAATCCACCTGCCTCTGCTTCCTGACTTCTGCCAACAGTAGTGTGCATGTGCACGTTTGTTACCATTTCCTTCCTTCCAGCCCTTCTCATGCCCCAGTTGCTCCCACTCATGGGAGCATTCATGATGTCTTTTTCTTTGCTATTTTACGCGCACACACACACACACACACACACGTCAGTCCATTTATTCTTATTTGTATATGTATAGTTTAAAAGCTAACTAATTGGCATTAAATAACCTATTACAGAGCTCATCTCATTCCTGGGAATGACTATTTCTCCTACTTTCAGCATTCCTTAGTTACTTGTAGTTCTTTGTTTGGGAGACATGGGGACACGATGAAATTTCCTCCTTCCATGCTAGCATGACTATCGGTGGTATCCTTGCTGTGGTCTTGTTTTGGCAGCCATAATGTGGAAGTTTCACTATGATACATCCATGTCATTTTTCTTCTTTCTGAGAGTTACAATCTCAGAGCTGATTTTTCTGGACCTTTGGCTCTGAGAATAAATACTTCTGTTACCTTTTTCACAATGTTTTGTGAGGCTTAGGTGAAGGAATTATATTGTAGCTGTATCCTTTGGTCCTGGACACTCATGATCTGTTGTTCTCTAAGTTTTGATCGGTTGTAGCTTTGGGTAATGTTCTCCATCTGCTGCAAAAAGAACTCTCTTTGATAAAGGGTGAGCATTATACTTTTCTGTAGGCAAGTATTTAGAATGCTGTTAAGAACTATTCTAGTCTAGTAAAGTGGTGGTAGCAGATTCCCAGCCCCTCCTATAGAACACATTTCCTCCTGTAGAACACATGCCAACACGATATGAATGCCATTACTGTACTCTTAGGGATAGCTTACCACACCTGGACCTCTATACATCATTCTAGAATCCTCATGCTAACTTCAGAAACTACAGTGCTACTAGTAATATGCCTCACGCCTGGGTTTTCCCCACTGCCCGTCCTTTACTCTCGGAACTCTTTGCTATCTAGAAAAAAAAAGTTGTATGTTGTTTTTACTTCTAGATTTCTACCTCAGGTAGATAAGACTGGCTCTCACTGGTTCCCCAGACAAGCTGACTGTACTGTGTGCTCCCTCACATTTTACATGTATAACAACTTTCCTCACTTGGAATGGCAAGAAAATGAGGAAAGGACAAGTAAAACTAGACTGTAAAGCTGGAATCAGATGGGGCTCCAGTAGGGTTTTACTACCATCAAACCCCCAAGCCCTGGTGTGTTTATTTAGTACAACAGAGGAAGTGGGTTAGCTAGCCTGGGTAGCCGGTCTCTGTAGACATGAAATCTCTGGCTGTGAACATATGGGAATATGGAAGCTGTAGTTGCTAGTCTTTGTACACACTGATCAATTGTTCATAAACACTCATATCCAGACACAAAGGGAAGT